CTCCAAATCTCTTTTATAGGTTGCAGATCATCAGAGGTAAACATATGTTCAGGACATAATGTCTTATTTTCATTTCCTGCAAGCTGACTGGAAGGAACGCATGTTTTGTTTGGTTTCAGAAATACTTCTACTTTCCTTTGCTTTCTGTTTTAGAGAAACAATGTATCATACATAGAAATTGTACCGTGACTCTTGCAATGTTTGAAAGTGATTCTCCCCATATAATTGTGTTGTTTTTTTTTCCTGTGCCAAGCTCAATACATTGATTAGAGGACTTGCACCTAAAGTTGTTAAGGAATGCGTTAAACATAATTTCAATATTTGTTCTGCAGAGGCCTTCACCACGAAGAAGTAACAGCCCTGACAAATTTAAACGTCCCACTCCTCCTCCTTCTCCAAACACGCAGACCCCTGTGCAGCCACCTCCGCCACCACCTCCTCCACCTGTGCAACCTACGGTCCAATCCGCAGCATCGCAGGCAGCCACTTTTCAACATTCAGTGCATCCCTCCTCTCAGCCTTAGTGCATGTGCTCAGCAGTCTGTATGTCAGAATTGGACTCATAACATGGAGCAGTTTACTAAAGCCAAAGGCTTACTTGGCATATTTGGATTTGACTTATTTGCACTGAGGTTATATAGGCTTCACTGTTAATTGTGTTGTAAACGTTTGTATAAAAATGCAGCCAGTGTTGTGGGTCTACAACACTAACTTAACGAAAATTTCCATCAGTGTTTACTTGAACTACATGTATGTCCATTCTCTGGCTGGAACATTTGCAACTCTGTTTGGTAATACGACATTATGTCGTTTTGCTTGGCTCCAAAGCTTCATTTTCCTGGCTTCTAGGTTTGTAAAATTAAAGGGATACCTTTCTATATTTTTTCATGACAATTTGCATAAAGTTAAAGGCATGATGGGCTATCTGATAAATTCTGAAATATTACAGTGTTTTACCAGGCTTGTGGAAAATTAGCACTACGTTTCAGTCATTTGAAATAACAGCTTCTAGCGCAAAAGTGAGTCAGTCACCCTAATCAGTGCCCAAGACACATACTCTATTGTATTACGTAGTAAATAAGCTTAATTCAGCACACAGGACACATCCATACTTCTGTTTAAAAACACCTCAAACGTATGGTGCAGTGTGAATTTTAAGGAGAGGGAGCTGACTTGCTGGAGTATATGGAATGTACCATTTGTGGACCTTAAGATTTAATTATTTCACTTGACGTTTACATTAACCTGTAAGCTGTCCATACGGTGTGATCTGTCGCAGTTAACTTAGAGCTCTAAGTGTGGTCCTGCCCACAGGTTACTGATAGCTGATTGAAGTGTGCTCTTTGATTTTTTGCTGCAGAAGGCAACATGATTGTAGAAAACAGCTGATTATTTTTTCCTTGTTAAAATATATTAATTGTGATTTCCCTAAAACAAAGATTAAACAAGTATTTGAAATGTTCAAGTCTGTTAGATAACAAGATGTACAATGAGCATATAGGAATATATTGGCATAACAGCCAAAAATGTTGTATTACTTGATAGAAACAGAGTACAAGAAAGTAGCACAACATGGCACTAATGAATGCTTATTTAGCAGCCTAAGCCGGTACAATGTATAAAGAAATATGTTTCAAATACATTCTTTGCATTCATTTAGCACAAATAAATTGTTTGGTTTCACTTTGCAGTGGAACAAAGTGTCACTTCTTGGTATTGACATCTTGCTCAGTTTTATTTTTCCTGAGGTTCCTGTTGAGTACTGAGGTTTATATATTATTGATGATTTCAAGTGGTTTACCTCATCTATATGTGGGCCATGGAAAATGACAAGAGAATGTTTATTTTATGAGAATATGTATCTGGCTATAATCAGAGCAGAACGTGAGTAATTTATCTTTTGTTTACAAAAATTTGTTTGACATGCCTATGCTTTATTAAGGACACTTTTAAGAAGGAAGTACAGCATTTTGGTAGTATAGTAAGACTTGTACATGTATTTTCCATGTTTGCCGCTCAACTATTCAGTAAGAGTTGAAGGTTGAATATCTTCATAAAATCAGTGCTCTAAATCAAAGTAGTAAGTTAAAACAGTGTTGTAAAAGGTTCAGCTTATGGCAAAACTAGAATTTATTCATTCTATCTATGTAGTTTCGGCTCATAGAGAATTTAGAGAAATGCATACCTAGCCTATTACACTTGTTAAACCAGTGTGGGATCAAGTGCATTATCAAATTACTTTAGTTATGACAGTGACTTTCTGATAAAGTGATACTCAAGATTGTGGCAGATCTACAATTCGACCAGTGCTTCCATCTGAAAATAACTGCCCATGGCAGGTGCTCATTTTTCCACAGAGGAAATACAGCTGTGAGCATTACCATTAAACGCAGCTCCTGAATCAGTGGTAGGATTGCATGTGAGAAGATGATAGGCAGTCAGAGGTGAGACTAAGGTCAAGATAGGTAGGATTGGTTTTGTAAGCTGAAGAGAAATAAAAAATATATATTCTTTTATAAGCAGGATTCCAGCTTGATCATATCACTGTTGAAAATGGTGTCCTCCTTTCTGAAGTGCTTTGAGATTTTTGGCCGTATGACTCTATGGAGTACGAGCCAATAGTAGTACTAGTATAAATGCTGGGGGTGGGGGAAGGCCTTTGATAATGTTGTATAAGGACCTTAAAATAGAAATTTGCCTCGAATAACATTTGATGCATATTCCAAAACTGAATTTGTGTAACTCAATTCAGCTGCTGTTATGAAGTGTCTTAGTGAACTCTCCGTATTATTCCAATGGGACTGTTACCAGATGAAAGTAAAGAACTGCCAAATGTATACTAAATCCTGAAAGTGTAACAAGCCACTAAATTGGCCTTACCTAATTAAGAACGTTGAACAAACTTGTGCTTGCAATCAGAAGTGTTAAGCTCTATTTGTAGTCTTTTTGAAGAAGATAAGGAATTGTGCACAACCATGTCCTAATAAATGTAAATGGATTTTCAGTTTTCTTTGTGAATTATAATAATGAATTATCATTCTGCAGTGGTGATTTTGTGAGAATCTTCCATAGGCTAGAGAAACTCCTCTGACAGAGAGGTCTGGCTTAGCTTCTTTATTTTATCTGAGAAGCATCCGGGTAGGTTTCTGCTGTTGTCATCATTTATGATGCCTGTGGGTTACACGATGCATCATCGCGAGTTGTGCAAGGTCACAGGAGCAACTTTTAGCCGTGATGAACATTTTGTGAGTGTGCCTGTTTATAGCTGAAGGTTTAAAATAAATAAATAAATCTTGTGGCTGTTTCAGCAGTACTTACTTCTCTGACAACCAAACAGCTTTCTTTTTTACTTTTTCTCTCAAGGGATCTGGTTTCGACACTGGAATGCAGCTGATCTCTGTAGAGCATTGAGTTCATTTTATCCAGAATTTGTTCCAGAGGAGTTCTTTGGAAGAAGAGATGGGATTGTTCGGAGATAGTCTTCCAGCTAAAAGCCAGATAAGATTGTTTTAATTATATCTACTCCTCTAAGAGCATATTCCCAAGGTCAAAAAGGATTATCAGAGATTCCCAAGAAAGTAACATTCAAAGACAGTAGCGTCTGTCTTGCTGTACCAGAGCTAAACAGGACTCCTTGTCCTGTTAAAATCAGATTCATGAAGCCATCTCTCTGAGTGGAACTTCAGTGCACTTCAACTGAATGAAAAGTACAGTCTTGGAAGCAACGAAAATGTTGGAATTTCCTGGAATCTGTGCAAGCTGCACTGTTAACAGGAAACAATTTAGACTCCATATATTTTGTTAAATATGGAAGCTGACCATGGAGCCTTGGCTGGTTTTGGCTGGCAAAGGTCACAGTCTTTCATTCTCAATATTAGTTATTGCTTACTAAGAGGATGCATCCAGGGACCTCTTTAAAGTCTTATAGCGGTTTGGTTTGGTTTGTTTTTTTCTTTTTTTTGTTTCCCCCTCTAATGTTTAGTTTTACAGGCAGTATAAGTTCTAATCCTATTCCATTTTTTTCCAATGTTTCCTTTGTTTTAGTCATAGCAATTGGCTTCTTTTTGATCTGTGGGAGTCTACAGAGTATGAACTATGCAGAGCATATTTCTCCAGTTCAAGCCATCTCATAAAGAAACAGAAGGCTTATTAGTGTAAGCTATGAAATCTTGATACATGTGTACGTTGCAGCAACCTCCCTTAAGAGGAAGGAACTGCCTTCTTCAAGGAAGGAAAAACAAGGCCCATAAGTTCCAAATGAACTGTATTCATAGAGACAATCTGGTTTCCTCAGTTCTCAAATGAGGTGAATTTCTCTCCCAATCTTTTTTGGATTTGAACTAGATTTGTTAATTTTTATTTTTCTGTATTTTTTTTTAGTCTGCGTTTCACTGTAATAAGTACTCAGGATCTTTCGTATGCTCTTTGGATAAAAATCACTAGTCCCAGTACAAATAGAGGTTAAGAGACATTGCCATTTTGTGGATTGGAGAAAGCCACTCAGTGTGCCATAATGTGGCCTTTATGATTCAGTCTTAGTTCAGGTGGGATTGTATGCTCATAATATGATTTCTCTTTTTAGAAGCTATTCCTGTGCTTGCATTAGTAATGTGCCCTGAAGAAGAGGGAGAAAATGCAGAGATTTGGTGCTGCATTAACAGACAGCTGCTACAGTAGGAAGAATAATTTTTGTTCCTTTCCTGTTCAACTAGTTGGGCTCCAAAGAAAAGTACTACCTCATCTTTACGTTGGGATGATGTGGCTGCAGAGTCAGTAGAAATGTAGCTATGCTAGGCTTTTTTCAGCATATATTACCCAGACAGGAGTCTTTCTTCACTGCAGCTGGGCTCCAAAGGTTATAAAGCTTTTGTAGATGGGGAGTGGAGAGTTGGCCAGATGGTTGAGGTTGAGAAAACTGCATGTTCCTGTAGTAAGTTGCTGCTCAGAGTACTCTTTGGCTAGGCCTGAACCACGACATTTTTCAAAGAGCTGTGTTGCAGTTGTTTTTTTTTTTTTTTAAGTTCTTGGTGCTGGTATCTAATTAAAAAAAAAAAAAAAAAAAAGTGATTCCCCTTTCCACAGAAATATTGGAAGTAGTGTTCTACTTGCAAAGGTGAGTTTTCTCACTATATGAATTGATGTTGTATCTGTAAACAAAGGCATTTTGTTCTAGTGGTAAAGCCTAAGCTGTCCAAGGCACTTTAGTTTGTGATTGCTGACTTTTGTTTTGGCAGGTGTTTCAGATGAAATCTAAGCCTCCTGTGGAGGAAGAAAAAAATCACCTGACAGATGTAGACTGTTCCTTTCCTGCAGAAATTCAGCAATTTCCTCAAATGCAAGTAAAAGTGGAACTAACGTCCTTGAGCTTTTCTGAAGCTTATATTTAATTTCAGTACATCAGTGATTGCTCTTACGTGTTTAGGGAATCTCTGAAGCCTTATTCTAGGTTGGATGTGTGTCTAGTTGGTTATTCCTTTGTTTTCCTGCTCCTAGGGAAGGAAACCTGTTCAAATTTGGATCCAGTTTATAAATACATCAGTTAATAACAACAGTCAAAGTGCAGATTTGTTGAGTGTGAATCCAAGTGGTGACTTAAAAACATTACACTGTGTTGGTGTGAATCAGATCTTATAACTGAAAGAACCTCAGATACAAAAGTTTGTTGTTGTTTTTTTTTAACAGATTACATTTTATTCCTGTATTAGCTGTATTACTGCTTTGTTGTATATCTCAACGTGTTTACATATATTTGTAATTGTTACAATGTGTCTGTAATCAAGCTCATCTGTGCCTTCATGCAGATTTCCAATAAACACTTGATTTTTTTTGTATTTACTTGTATTGAAAGACTATGGGGTGGATGTATATTTCCTTCTATCAGCTTGCCATCACTGAGGTGAAGAGAATGAAAACTAAGAATCGGTGAAAGATATGTGCTTGTCTGTTTTTGCTGTTTTTGATTCTAATTGGACTGTTTCTGGTATTTTCACTTAAGTGGCTGATTGGAGAATCTGGGGATTACCTTATTTGTACAATAAAGTTTGTACCTGAGATGCTCTTTGCTTTGAATCAGATGTGGATATTCAAGGTACAATCAGCTGTGCATATTTGATTCCTTAGCTTTACTTCCATCTTGGAAAAGTGTAGCTCTGTCTCTTGAGCTGTTATTGTGGGGAAAATCATAGAATGATAGAATGGCTTGGGTTGAAAAGGATCACAGTGATCATCTAGTTTCAACTCTTTGCTATGTGCAAGGTCGCCAACCACCAGACCAGGGCTGCCCAGGGCCACATCCAGCCTGGCCTTGAATGCCTGCAGGGATGGGGCACTAAAAATTCCAGAACATCTTTCACAGTTAAATATGTATATTTGACCTCCAATTTCCTTCCAGTGAGATTTATCTCTTTTTTTTTGCCACAGCAAGAACTTTTGATCTTAGTAGGCCTGCACACCTTGCGGGTACTTTTTGATGATTTGGGACATGGGCCCTATCGTACATTCTTGAGTCTTAAGAAGTTTACGACGGTACAGCTACTATTCTATTCTATTTGTGAGTGGAAGAGAAGGGAGAAATGTTCCTTTGCACGTATTAAAAGGTTTGCTTTCTGTTTCGTAGTTTGGAAGAGAATACCTTCCAGTTTTTTTGCACTGCTAAAGGTTATAGTGTCTGGTAGTCTGTTACAGTTTTTCATGATTTTTATTGTAGTCAAACATTGACAGCTTAGGTAGTTCTATTTTTGACATATTCTGCCATATTCTAATGGAGACTTATCTTAAAAATCCACCACAATTTGTACTGTTTGTACTGTTTTGTCTTTGTTAAAGCATTGTATTGATTAATATAAATTTACGGATATTTTTGTTATTTGTAGTGAACACTTTGATACTGTGACATTGTGTTAACTGTCTTTGAGTGAAAGCAGCAATAAGAACAGTCCTAGCATTTTTATAGTTGCAGTGTGTTGAATTATAAGCCTTAGATAGCTAACAGTGGTGGATATGCTTCTGAAACTTGTGTAGGTGCTTTGTTTTGTTGTCCCTTGTGAAATCTGTTTTTGTCATCTTCTTATTGTTGTATGCGTTCATGCATTAACTTAGCACAGAGTTTGCCTGCACAGCATACTTTTTGTGTACTTTGCTGTATTGCCAAATTTCTGGGCTTAGATCTTAGCCTTGGTAGCACTTCTCAGTTGTCCTTTGTTCATCTTCTATTCAGTGTCCAAGTGTTACCAAACTGCTTGGATGGATCCACTTGTTCCTGCCTTGTTCAGCTCCTTCTCTGGTACGTATCTGTATGCACACTCTCTGCTCTGCATTTCCTGTGTTCCTGTGTATGAATAAGAGTTGCTGCTTTACTTTGTACTCTTTTCTCACTGACACTATAAAGAGCATGTTGTCCATTTAATCTGGTGATAATATATACAGGAAAATCCCTGTAGCATGATGACTGCAGGTTCTAGGGCAGCAGGACATGTGAGTACTTCTGCAGTGAAATGCTGATCTAGCTCTTCTGTGTTATTCTGTTCCTACAACACAGTATTTCATCAGATGCTTTTATTCTCTCCACTGCTGCAAATGCTGAGCAATCTGTTCTGCCTGTCTCCTTGTGAGTAGCCTGCTTGATACTGATGCACCTGGTGAGAGTGTTGACCAGTGAATGAGCTGTGCTGATGCTGTTTGTCTTCATGCCTTTCATCTTTTCTCTGACATTTGTCTGAACTGAAAGGAGTAAATTGAATTCTTCCAGAAGACAAAATGAGAAGAATATGCATGTGATCAGTGTAATTTCAAGTTCCTTTGTCCATGTGATCTCCTCTTTAAGTGGTTCTTCTTTATTTCTTCTGGAGCTTGTACTGGGAGAGCAGGTTCTCAGCATTGCAGTAATAAAAATTCCGATAAACTGCTGAGAGCAGAAAATAAACTCTGCATTGTAAAGTAAGCAATTTTGATAACCTTAATCTTTATCTAGAATGCCAGTAGGAGTATCAAGTTGCTCACGCATTATTATACACTTTTTCTCTGGCAATTATGGGCAATTATATACCTTTTGAGGTGTAAGGTGAGAGGTGAACAAAATATCCTTCAGTGCAGAAGCAAGAAGAGTTTGAAATTAGTCCTGCATTTCCCAGATGGAGATTTAAGATGCCTGTGAAAGACCATTAGGTCTTTGGAATGCAAAAAACACTGAATGCGAGTATAGGGGAGTAATGCTTTTCTGCCTGAGGGCTCGTCATGGAATTGGCTACAGCCTCTTCTGTATCCCTGGAAGAGAGAAAGTCTTCTTGTTAATCAGTGTGTTGGTGGTGATGCCTGCTCAGGCAAACGTTTTTGTTTTTTTTTTTTTTTCTTTTGAGTGACATAGAGTAAAAGATTATTTAGAAATAAGAGTAAAAGCTGGACATCAGGTATTTTAAACAAAATCTGTCATGAATTTAATGAAACCCGAACAGTGGTCTGTGATAGTCTCAAATGCATGTTGTGTGATCATCTCTGTTCTTTCAACAAGGCAGAAGCTCCTGACTAGTGGTTCTGATCTAAACAGCGCAGGTACTTCTCACAGTAGAGATGAGTTGAGGAAATTACAGGGATCTCACAGAACATCTGGATGTAGCCAACTGTGTTTAGGGCCTGGAAGTGTTTAATCCACATCTGCAGTGTTGTATATCAGCAACATCTTAATGTTCACTGAAACTATTTAGAAATGAGTTTCTGTGCATGAGTGGTTAGAATAAAGTCTTATAATACATCCTTGAGTACTGTCACTTATCCAAACATATTTGTATGTAACTGTTATCTGTTTGCTGGTCCTGCACAGAGAACTTACAGCAAATTTAGTGAATCATAAATATAATAAGTTGTATTTAAATTATTTCCAAAATAAATGTTAGCCATGACAACGTATTAAGGAATTAATCCTGTTAAATGTTACTACATTCTTCACGCTATTACGGAGCTCTAGGTTTAGTATGACTGTTGTCTTGACTGTTTAATGAAGGACTTTATTAATGCAGTTAGTTCCTAGAGGTAGTAAAGGATTCCGAAGTTAAGGGTTCTGAAATCAACTATTTCATATTGTGAAAAGTCATGAAGTTTCTTTTAAAACCTTGTGTGTAGACTGAAGTGTCTCTTATTTTTAAGTGTATGAGTATTGGCTCTGTGTAACTGAAGTTAATTTCTGAGTTAAGTGCAGAGCAAAACCTATTTTTTGGCTGAAATACCCCAATAGCTTCCCAAAGATGCTCTGGGAATGTGATGCCCTTTTTCTTGAATCTCCCTGATTCAAGTGTCAGTGCATTGGATGGATGGTTTGTGAGAGTCAAAACTACAGAGTAAAGCTTTGACTTTTATGTTTATCGTATGTTGTAGAAACCCACCTAATTGAAAGGAGAGCACTTTGCACTAAATCCGTATTAACTGTAATTTCAACCCAAATCTTACCTAGATTCTTGTAAACACGTGGTCTCTTGAGAACAGTCACCATTCTTAGCTCGTCTGGAGTTTAATGCATGTGTTTGATGGGTTTGGTTTGTTTTTCTAGAGAGAGATCACAGAATCACAGGAATTGGAAGAGACCTCAAGAGATCATCAAGTCCAAACATCCGTGCTTATATGAACGTGGCTAGAAATATTACTAATGTTCTTCCAGTTTTACCACCTCTCCTAGTTCTATGCATCTGCCTGATCTGTAGCAGGAAGACAAAACAAAGCCCATTTCAGATTCAACACTGTATCATAGCTTTAGCACAGCCAGCATGTGAGCTGGAGCCCTCACTGCAGTCTGTCTGGTTCTGGCTTGTTCCTATCTTTGCAAAGAATGGGGGGAGGGAAGAGGTATGGAAAAAAAAAGAGCAAGGAAAACAGAAGAAAAGTAATTGGCTTCTGTGATTTCACCTCCCACATATGCTGAGAGCAAGAATCCCTGACAGGTTTTTACACTTCTGACATGCAACACAGACTGCTGCTTCCAGGGCAAGACTGTCGGGCAAGGAAAGTTTTAGGTTTTCAGTTTCTGTTTTAATGTATAACAGCTTAACTTACCTACCCACCATTTTACAGAAAGTTATGTGAATAATGAAACAAACCGCTGTGAGTAATGCGTGACAGCAGTTTGGGTGTGCCAGATGGATAACGGGAGGACAGGGCACAACGTGAACAGAGTAAGTTCCTTTACACTGGTTAAAAACCCAGCGAGTGGGGAATCGATCTTGTTTTTGAAGAAGAAATTGACCTTTTTGCTGGAATTAATAGTTGTGGATTTTTTGTGTTTATTTTGTTTTGTTCTGTTTTGTTTTTCCTTAAGTATTTCCATTTCACTATTGAAATATTCTGAATAATATTCTTACTCTGAAACATATTCTTAGTTTCAGGATGTGTCAAGCCAAACAAGGCATCTCCATTTTCCCAGGTTATATATTTTTAAAAATGAAAGGAAAGTAATTTCCCAAAGATTCCCACTATTTGGCTAGACAGGATGTCTGATGATAGTGATACAATTTACTGTAAGTATGCTGGGAAAAGCTGTGAAGTGCTGGATAAACAGTGCACTGATTGAACTGATCATGACTGAGAGTCTGTCAGGCTACAAGTTTCACTTCTTTAGAAGTTCTTTTGGTTTTTTTAACATGCTACCAGGTTTATTTGCCCTTTTCTTCTTTGATCTTTTGCTGCTTGGTTCTCATGCTCGTCTGAATCTTTTGTCCATACTGCTTGTTAGCAGTCTCCTATACTTGCTGGGGCAGCTTCCTTTTACTACTGCAGAACTGTGTTTCAGTGATTTTTTTCTTATAAATGATACTGAAACTGCCAAACTTAACTGTCATTTCATAGTAGCCCCATTAGCTGCTGACAGAACAACTTCAGTGCTCTCATTTTTCTGTTTTCTCCTTGTCTTCCAGATTCCTTCTTAATAAACTGTTCTGGGAAGGAGTTTGTAGTGGTTTGCTTATTTTACAGCACTGTCACCTACCTGATATTATTTAAATGTATTATGGCAAGGAAGCTTTTTAGATGTAATTGAGCAGACATCAATGAATCTTTGATTCCCAAAATACTAGGATTTATTGATAGCAGAAGTTAGGACTTACCTAGATATTGTGGGTCAGCTGTTGTTCATACTGGTGAAATAGCAGTTGTAAAATAGCTTGGGAACTAGACAAGTAGAAATGAGAACTGAGTTTGGTTGCAAATTCCAAATGGATCAGCAGATTTCAAAATTAACTTTGAAGTCTTCTACACCTTCCTGAAAAATTCACGGTGATTTCTAAACTGAGCTCTTCCTCCCGGGTTCAGATCTCAGATTTCAGTGAAAGGCACTGCAACGTCATTCCTGTGGGGCAAAAGGGGCCAACATGCTGCTTTCTCCTTATCTGTCCACTGATACTGAAGTTGCCCTCGTGATAATCAGGGTTTACTTTCTTCCTCCACAGCCAATCCCCAAAAGTAGAACAAGCAATAAAAACCTAACATGCTCTCTTCTGCTTTCCCATCCCAGCTTTAGGGTTAGGTTGGGGGAGGTCTCAGTGAAGAGCAATGGATTAGCAAAAACTTTTTTCTTAGCCCCTTCCCAAGTGTTCTACTCAGAGGCAAGGATCCCGTAGCTTCTTTTTGCTTTCCAGAGCAGTTGTGTAATTACTGCAGGACATCAAAAACAGGTAATGGAAGCTGTGAAGGATGATTTCCATCTCTGAACTGGAGAAAGTTAAGGTGGTTTGTCAGCCTACCCTGAGGCAAAAAACTTCCCTTTTAAAAAAATAACAATGTTCTGGGATTGCAAGCTTAATTAGCTGTCAGCTTACTCAAGTTTTAAATTCATATTTCTTCACCTGTTTTACTTTAAGTCTTTTGACTGGGGTAGATCTGCTCTGAGATTGTTTTCCTCACTGGTGTTTGTTTAAAAAAATAAAAATAAATAAACTGCAATATGAAGCAATGGCATTTTGTACGAAGACCTGTACTTAAGATGCAATCTAATTACATATTAAGTCAATGTCAATTGAACTTTTGGGCAAACTATAACCATAGATACTTCTTTTAATGATTATCCAGTGCAGAGGAAAGAGGAAGAAGTAACGTGTCAGTTCATGAACATTAACTGTGTGGGAATGCTATGTGTTAAAAATAAATTCTAAGTCTGTGTAGAGATTTTGAAAGTAAACTTTCTTCGGTGTCTCAAATATTTCCAAAATATATAAGTATATCCAAACAAGAACAGCCTTTTCCCCCCACAAGATAATGGGTTTTTTGCCTCTCAAATCCCTTTAATATCCTTGCAGATACTTGTGTCTCTTCTAAGGACCTTCTCAGTAACTAAAAATAGGTCACATAAATCAATGGAGAAATAACCTTACTCTAAGATGAGACTCACAAGTAGAGAGAAGAAGCTGACCAGTTTACTCTAAGCTCAAATTTTCTAACCAATACTCATTCAAAACACCTGTTTGTCGTAGTAATCTGATGATACTTTTTCTGGCTGCTCTATATGTCACATACCTAACATAAGGCTTGCTTGTAGAGTGATGTACTAAAACTTGAGTTTCTTCAAAGTTCTCACACGGTGATACCACCAGTCAACGCTAATTAAATGTCTTGAAAAAGATAAGGCAATTCCTCATTACTTATGGCACTGATAATACTGGATATTTGAAAATAGAAATTCTTGTAGTTTATTACTGTGTGCCTCAATTGGTATGGAATAATCTTTCTCTGGGCTCCATGATAAGCAAATGCATGTACGATTTAATATGGGATTATAACATTCTTTCTGTGCCCATTTCTGTGTATGTTATCCGTTAGCTGAATCAACAGTGTAAAAAAAACTGGATAACTGTGTACTTATTTCAGTGCACATTAACAGTCCTTAGAAAGTATTGCTCAAATGCATGAAGTATATGAGGAGTTTTTTTTTAATATTATATGACACGAATTAAAACGATTTAAAAACAATTTACAGAGCAAATCAGCAAGGTCTGTATGGACTAAGTATGGTTACAGAGATTCGCATTCTGAGGATGAGGAACAGATAAGAACAGATGGGCTTTATAATGCTTTAGAAGATCTTTAAAAGCCTGCTTGAATTATCCCCAAAATGCACGCCCCTGCAGAACCATGGCTTAGCCCTCAGTCTCATGGCATTGTTACAAGCATGTGTTGTGCACTTCAAGGTGGGACTCTGTTTCCTGTTGCATACTTGGCAGTGCAACCCTTTCAAGAAGCTTTCCTCTGAAAGTGGTCTTTTTTTGTATGTGTATTAAATGCACGCTTTTGCTTTGGGGAAAAACAAATTTGCTCCAAAATGTTGTGAATTCAAGGTAGAGACTTCAGGCTGTGTCTTAAAAATTAGATCATGACTCACATGTAACTTTTTGGACAAAAGCTTATCAGATCTTAACATCTATCATAAGAAGATCAAAGCCAGAAATCCTGCAAATGAATGTAGACTGTATGTCAAAATGTTATGAAATTACCGAGGCAAAATCCATTTATATTTACAGGAGTGTATTTCACTTCTCTGTTCAGCAGTGTCTGAATGACATCTAAATCAGTCATTTGGAACTCTCTTTACGTATATAATGGCACTGGATTTTCTGAGACTGGCATCAGTGAGCTGGTCTTTCTGCCTGCCCCTCCTAATCTCACTTTCAAGGTGGGAAGCTTCTGCTTTGGCATTGCCTAATCTGAAGTGCACTGCCAGAAGATTTACCTTTGCCTTGCTGATATGCATATTCCACAGCTTGTTTCATCCTCTGAGTGCAGAGATTTTATAGCTTAAAGGATACCAAAGCACCGTATTTGCCTTTCATATTCCTAGAGGGGATGTTTTCTTTTTCCTCACACACATCTCTTTTTTTTGGCCTGTGGTACCAATAAGTCTTAGGATCATTCCTTGTGAGATAAGGATAAGTGTTAACACCAGCTGTTGAAAACTCAGGTGCTATGAAGAATTTTTTCCTTCCTCCCTCAAAATGAATGACTGTTCCTGAACATTGATGCATGCTGGAGAGCTGTTAGTTTAAATGATACTGGTACTCCCACATGATTCTTGTTGCATTTGCTGCTTGATTTGCAGGGGCAGCAGGTGGTCCGTAAGACTTAAGTTGTACTGGCCAGGTGATGTTGTATAAGGAGTGTTATTTGTGAGAGAGGAGTATTGTACAGATCTGGTCAGAACTCATTCTGTGGATATGTTGCATTGGTAGCTGCTGCAAAGCAAAAACCTTCATCAGCTTGTTTTCAGGACAGAAATGAGTATGCAACATGCATATGTGCTAATGACAGTTTTGTTTTCTACTTTGTCTACTTGTTTCACTAGTTGTTGGACAAGTTGAAATATTCTACCTCAAACCAGATTGTGAAGGTTTCAAAGATAGATCTCGTTACGTGATTTCATTGGTAGGTGATGCACCTCAGAGCTGAACACTCATATTACATTGAGGTCTGGAACCATCCCAGGTGCTGACACTGCACAGCTCTGTCTCTGAGTCAGCACAACAGCACAGTACTCAATCTTGGCAGATCTGCTAGTCTGCTAAAATACAGCCTGCAAATCAGTCCTGATCTAGTAGTCTGGTAGCAAAGCTGAAAAGTCAAATGAAGTTTATCATAAATGTAGTTACACATTTATGCCTGGTTTATAGAGTACAAAGGAGTCTCCAGGCTGTTTCAGTGAAAATATGCTTGTTCATATTTGTACCTTTTCTACTTAGAAAGGTATTCTATGAATAAAATGATTGGCTCTGATCAAGAAAACACACAGAGGTTTCCAATTCTCTTCACAGTCACTGCTGTACAGTTAATGCAAGCTTGGAGAGAGTATCAGTACTGTGGTGGAACCAGTTATGTTTACACTGCAGTTGTCAGAGCAAATAACTTTTAAGCTAATTTAGTGACAGTACATTGTCCAAACTCTTCACAGATGTGGCTACTTGCTGGTACTTGATATAGATGATTTCAGTATAGTTGAATATTTAGCAGAATACAAGGATTAGCAAGCCAGAGCTAAAGCAAGTATTAGCAAGTGGAGGACAGGAGGTAGGAGTTAGCAGGAACCCCAGGCAGAAGTGGCAGGATTTCTGACTGGGCAGAGCCAGGACCAACACGTGTCCAGCACAAGCTGCCTCCTGCCTGGGGACGTGCAAGCCACTGCAGAAGCTCAAGGAACGTGTCTGCACAGACCCCACTTACCTGTTCTTTGCAAACTGAGCTGACTTGAAGAACTGGTCTTGAAAGCTGAAGCCCCTTGGTGAGCATGCTACTCATCTCGAGAGCCTTCATGGAGCTTCCCAAAGCTCAGATGACAAAGGCATAGGGGCAACAGTAGAGGTAAGCTTTTCTTGGTTATTGTTCCTCCCTACATACAAAAACATGCTTACAAACTTTCATTGGACATCGGTTATGATTATCTTGGGCCTGGGTGTGAATGCAAAGCCTCCTTGCTGTTCCTGAAGAACTCCGCATGTCTGCACTAAATGCAGACTAAGGGTGTTTACTGTAGACAAATCTATATTTAGACAGGCCTGGTGGCAGCTTAACATAGGTTTAAAATAAACCTCTTCCATTGTGGAACCTTCCTTTCCTTTTCATCCTTCCACTGAGTTTGTGTTGGCAATACAAAGTTAAAATACACAGGCCTTTGGGGACACTTCACGGGTATTTAGAGATAAATTGTGACTTGCTTTAGAACATGCTATGTAACAAACTGTAAGCATGACTACAAAAATGCAGTGTAATTTGAAATCTCTGCCTCTGTGACAACGCAAGATTAGGCTGAGAACAATATAGGAAATGAGGCTACAACTTAGCTGGCAAGGAAAAAAAATGACAACATTGAAGTAATGAGATTGCATTGAGATGAATTTAGGTCACTAGCTGTTTCGTACTGCTCCTATTAACCTCTCAATTTTGTTGACAATATAAATGCCTTCCTCAGTATTTTAATGTGGTTAACTAAGTGAGGGAAAAGCTACCAACTCTATTAACTTAATACTCTAGCAAGATGAAAAGTGTGTGTGTGTTGTCTGCAGAGAGACAAATACATCATCCTTCCTGCCGTGATCGATGGATGCCATTACATTTCAGCATGTGGTAATGGCAAGTAGATTAATTTTCATTAAGAAATAAGCAAACCCTCTTTCTGAGGGGCTTCCTCCAGTATCCGTGCCATGCCTTATGACTACCTTGACAAAAATACTTCCTTTGTAGTATGCTAAGATGGTCATTATTTCTGCTATGCAGGTGAAGTCATCTCCTTGGACTGTTCTGACAGAGGTTTCATTGAAAGATGGATGGCCAGCAGTGTAAGGGAGGTGATTGTCTCCCTCTACCCTGCCTTTCTAAGACTGCATCTGGAGTACTACATCTAGACCTGGGACCGCCAGCACAAGAAAGCTGTAGAGTTGTTGGAGTGGGTCCAGAGGAGGGCCACAAATGCTTGGGCTGAAGCACCTCTCTTAGGAATAAAGGCTGAGGGAGTTGGGCTTGTTTAGCTTGGTGAAGAGAAGGTTCCAGGCGAAACCCCACTGCCAACTTCCACTACCTGAAGGGAGCTTATAAGCAGGAGGGGGCTGTCTTTTGTATGGTCTGATAGTGATAGAACAAGGGAGAATGACTTTAAGCTGTAAAAGGGAAAATTTGGGTTAGATGTTA